TTTCTTGTCTGGGAAAATCTTTATATGGCCATTGATTCTAAATGACAGCTTTGCAGGATAGAGTAATCTTGGTTGTAGGTTCTTGCTTTTCATCACTTTGAATATTTCTTGCCACTCCCTTCTGGCCTGCAAAGTTTCTTTTGAGAAATCAGCTGACAGCCTTATGGGAACTCCCTTGTAGGTAACTAGCTGCCTTTCTCTTGCTGCTTTTAAGATTCTCTCTTTGTCTTGAACCTTTTGCATTTTGATGATGATGTGTCTTGGTGTGGGTCTCTTGGGGGTTCATCTTGTTTGGGACTCTCTGTGCTTTCTGGACTTGTATGTCTGTTTCCTTCACCAAGTTAGGAAAGTTTTCTGCCATTATTGTTTCAAACAGGTTTTCGATTTCTTGTTCTCTCTCTTCTCCTTCTGGCACCCCCAAGATGCGAATATAGGCACACTTGAAGTTATCCCAGAGGCTCCTTACATTATCCTCATTTTTTCGGATTCTTTTTTCTTTTTGCTGTTCTGATTGGGCGTTTTTACTTTCTTATATTCCAAATCGATGGTTTGCTTCTTGGATTTACGTACTCTACTATGAAGCTGTGTAAATTATTCTTTATTTCAGTTAATGCCTCCTTCATTTCTGACTGTGCATCCATACTTTCTGACTGGTCCTTTTTTATGTTCTTGAGCCCCTCACTAAGTTCATTGAGCATTCTTATAAGCAGTATTTTGAACTCAGCATCTGTTAGGTTGTGTATCTCCATTTCCCTTAGTTCTTTTCTTGGGGTTTTGTTCTGTTCTTTCATTTGGGACCTGTTTCTTTTTCTCCTCATTTTGGGTGCCTCCCTGAGTTTGTTTCTGTGTATTACTTAACGAGAAGTAGGGGGTAGCTGAGGCAAGATGCTGCTCGTTTGAAAGAATTTAGGAAAAACCTGAAGGAGGATCCAAGACAGGCCAATCCTATGGTTAAGCAAGTGGCAACAGCTTGGTTGGGCTTGAAAGTTGGGTGGGGCAGGGCGGGGCCTCATGGAGTCACCAGGGCGGGGCTACCAGTGTGAGCCAGGTTGCTGGAATCCCAGATATGGTGGCTGTCTGCCGCCCCAGGGAAGGGCTCACCAAAGGAACAAAGGCCTCTTACAGCACATTTGTCCCGGAGAAAGCCCCCTCTCCAGCCCTCGCTCCAGTGTCAAATAGCTTAGTTCTTCCCTGTATGTCTCTGGTGACCCTCGAGCTGCCTCCCCTCCAAGCTTAGAGAGAGAGAGTCTGATAAATCCGTGTGCGGGCCCTTTAAGAGGAGCTACCTGGGGCTCCAGCCGCCCCAGCCTCCCTGAGCCTCAGTTCCCGCTGGTTTTTTCAGCCAGAATTTATGGGGACTTCTCTTCCTGGCACTGGAACCCTGAGCGGGACACCTGGTGTGGGATAGGGACCCCTCAGTCTTCAGGGAGGACCTTCCCAGCCTAGGTGTCCTCCTGATTTTTATCTGCCACACTTGGGTGTGGGACCAGCCCGTGTGCCCCCGCCCCTCCCAGCAGTATTAATGCTGCTGCTGCTTTAATTCCGTCGTTGTAGGACTCCCATTCAGCTTGATTTCAGGCGGTTTTGAATGATGGTTGTTCTGTAGTTTAGTTGTAACTTTGATGTGGTTGTGGGAGGACGCGATACCACGTTTACCTACACCGCCACCTTGACTGGAAGTCCTTGTTCCAGCTCTTAAGGGAAATGGTTTTAGTTTTTGCCCATTGAGTATGATGTTGGCTGTAGGTCTTTCATATGTGGCCTGTATTATGTTGAGATATGATCCCTCTATTCCCACATTGCTGAGCGTTTTTATCAGAGATGGATGCTGGATTTTGTCGAAGGCTTTGTCGGCATCTGTTGATATGATCATGTGGTTTTATTCTTCATTTTATTTATGTGGTGCATCACATTCATTGATTTGCGAATATTGTACCAGCCTTGCATCTCTGGATTGAATCCCACTTGGTCATGGTGAATAATTTTTTTGATGTATTGCTGGATCTGATTTACTAGTATTTTGTTCAGTATTTTGGCATCTATGTTCATCAGGGATATTGGCCTGCAGTTTCCTTTCTTTGTAGTGTTTTTTTCTGGGTTTGGAATTAGAATTATGCTGACCTCATAAAGTTTGGAAGTCTTTCTTCTTGGATTTTTTGAAATAGTTTGAGGAGAATGGGTGTTAGTTCTTTTTTGAATGTTTGGTAAAACTCCCCCGTGAAGCCATCTGGGCCTGGGCTTTTGTTTGCTGGCAGTGTCTTGATTATGTCTTCAATTTTCTTAGTTGTTATTGGTCTGTTCAAGTTTTCTGTCTCTTCCCCATCCAGTTTTGGAGACTATGTGTTTCTAGAAATTTGTCCATTTCGCTTAGATTGTCGAATTTGTTGCCGTGCAATTGTTCATTAGTAGTTGTTAACGATCTTTTTTATTTCTGTGGTGTCAGTTGTTACTTCTCCTCTTTCATTTCTGATTTTGTGTGTTTGGGTTCTCTCTCTTTGTTTCTTGGTGAGTCTAGCTAAGGGTCCATCAATCTTGTTTATCTTTTCAAATAACAAGCTCTTTGTTTCATTGACCCTTTGAATTGTGTTTTTGGTTTCTGTCATTTATTTTTGCTCTGATCTTTACTGTTTCCTTCCTTCTATTTGCTCTGCGGTTTTCTTTCTTTCTTTTTTCTTTCTAGTTCTTTAAGTTGTGAGGTTAGATAGTCTATTAGAGATTTTTCTTGCTTCTGGAGGTAGGCCTGTAGTGCTATGAACTTCCCTCTCAGAACTGCTTTCGCTGCATCCCATAGATTTTGTATTGTTGGGTGTTCATTTTCATTGGTTTCCAAGAAGTTTTTAATTTCTTCCTTGATCTTCTCAGTAACCCATTCGTTGTTTAATAACATGCTGTTTAGCCTCCATGTTTTCAAATGTTTTTGCATCATCTTGTTGCAGTTGATTTCTTATAGCTTACCATTGTGATCTGAGAATATGCTTGATAGGATTTCAGTCTTCTTGAACTCATATAAACTTAGTTTGTGTCCTAAGATGTGGTCTGTCTTTGAGAATGTCCCATGTGCACTTGAGAAGAATGTGAATTCTGTAGTTTTGGGGTGTAATTCTCTGTAGATATCTATTACATCCATTTGGTCTAGTGCTTCATTTAGAGTCTCTGTTTCCTTGCTGATTTTTTGTGTAGAGGATCTATCCAATGATGTCAGCGGGGTGTTGAAGTCCCCTCCCATGATTGTATTGTTATTGATTTCTCCTTTGAAGTCTTCCAGAAGATTTTTAATGTATTTTGGTGCTCTTATATTGGGTGCATATATGTTTATCAAGGTTATATCTTCCTGTTGGATAGATCTATTTTATCACATGAGTATTGCTACCCCAGCTTTTTTACCCTTTCTGTTGGCATGAAAGATTTATTTTCCATCCCTTCACTTTCAACCTATGTGAGTCTTTTGTTGTGAGGGGGTTCTCTTGTAAACAACATATATATGAGTCATGCTTTTTTTATCCAATCAGCTACTCTGTGTCTTTTTATTGGAGCATTCAAACCATTTACATTTAAGATGATTATTCATATGTAGTTATTTATTGCCATTTTTGTTTATTGTGGTTCTATTTTTCTTTTTATTTCTCCAGCTAATTACAGCAGTCCTTTCAACATTTCTTGCAGTGCTGGTTTGGTGCTAATGTATTCCCTTAGCCTTTTTATTTTTTTTTCTGGGAAGCTCTTTATTTGTCCTTCTATTTTGAATGATAGCCTTGCTGGGTAGAGTAGTCTTAGATTCAGATCCTTGTTTTTCATGATCTTGATTACCTCATGACATTCCCTTCTGGCCTGTAGTGTTTCTTGTGAGAAGTCAGCTGAGAGCCTTATGGGAGTTCCTTTGTAGGTAACCTGTTGTTTATCTTGTGCTGCTTTTAGGGTTCTCTTTTTATCTTTAATGTTTGGCTTTGATTATTATGTGTCTTGGTGTGGGACTGTTTGGTTTCTTCTTACTTGGGGCTCTCTGTGCTTTTTGAACTTGAATGCCTTCTTCCTTCACCAAATTAGGGAAGTTTTCTATTGCTATTTTTCCAAATATATTCTCTAACCCTTGCTCGTTTTCTTCTTCGGGGATTCCTATGATGCGAATATTATTATACTTCCAGTTTCCCACAGTTCTCTTAAGCTGTCTTCCTGTTTTTTAATTATTTTTTCCTTTTGTTTTTCTGACTGGTTGATTTTTTCTACCCTGTCTTCTAATTCACTGATCCGGTCCTCATGTTCCTCTACTCTGCTGTTTAGACCTTCCAATGTTTTCTTTGTTTCTGATATGTCATTCTTCATTTCTTCCTGGTAGTTTTTAATTTTCAACTGGTTGATTTTCAACATTTCTATGTCTTTACTCATGCTTCTCATGTCCTTACACATGCTGTTGAGCTTCCTCAAGATCATGGCTCTGAATTCTAGTTCTGTTAAGTTACTTAAGTGCACCTCATTTATCTCATCTTCGGTAGAGGTCTCTTGTTCTTTCATTTGGCATTTGTTTCTTTGTTTCACCATTTCGGCTATCTCAGTGGTCTTTGGAGCCTGCCAAATTTTCCCTGTGGGTATTTGTGTTCTGCTGTTTGTGGCAACCTCTGCTGGGTCTGGATGAGCATGGGAGGCCCCAAGGTAAACACCACTGTCAAGTCTTACCTTCCTGGGCAGAATTGCAAGCCCAGGGATAGTTCAGTTATTCTCTAGTTTTTTGCCTGGAGGCTGTTAGTCCCAGTTCCTTGAAGAGCCTTGGCTCCTCAGTTGAATGAAAAACTCCCTCAAGTGTTCAGAGTAAGGAGATTAGTAGAGGGTGGGGCAGATGTTGGGTGTTAATCTGCCTCAATTTGCATTTCAGTGGCCACCTGGTGGGGTTGAATCTCCAAGGGAGAGGCCACTGCCTTTCCCCAGAGCCCTGGGAAGGAGTAAGATGACCACTGTCCTGCATGGCAGCAACTCAGCAATGCTCTGAGCGCCCTCCAAATCCCGAGTGTCCCCACACAGTTCCAGTCCCATCTGCCCTCCCTTTGCCGGAGCCCAAGGTGAGTGGCTATGGCTATTTTAGCCTCTGTCCCAGCTTTGGGCTGTGGAGCCGTTTGGGAATTTAATCCGAGGGCGCTGCTCACAGCTAAGACTGCTGCTGTCTGTGGGCTCCCAGCCCCCCTCTCGCATCTTCGCAATCCTACTAGGATTGAGTCAGTGTCCCTGGTTATGTCGTCCTCCAAGCTTCTTTTCTGTTGCTTTTTCCTGACGATTTGTTTTTGTTTTCATTGTAATTCCAGTTTGGTCCTGGGAGATGGTCTGTGTAACTTCAATTCACTCCACCGCTATTTTGGAATTTCTCCGTTTGGCAGTTTTTTAAAGATTAAAAAAAAGTTACCACATGATACCCAGCAGTCCCACTCTAGGTATATACCCAAAAGAAATTAGAACATACATACATACAAACACTTGTACATGAATGTTCATAGCAGCATTATTCCTAATGGTTAAAAAGTAGAAGCAACCCAGATGTCATCAATTTATGAATGGATAAGTAAATGTGGTATATTCATACAAATGCTACAACATGGATGAATCTCAAAACTTTATGCTCAGAGAAGGAAGCCAGAAAAAAAAATGCCCTATATTGTATAATTCCATTTATATGTCCAGAATAGGCTAATCTATAGGGACAGAAAGTAGATTAGTGGGCTAGGAGAGTTGGAGAGGGATGATGGGGATTGACGGCTAATGGGTAAGGATTTTCTTTTTGGGATAATGAAAATGGTCTAAGTTTGTGGTGATAGTTGCAGAACTCTGAATATACAAAAGCCAATGAATTGTACACTTTAAAAGGGTGAATTGTATGGTGTGTGAATTATATCTCAATAAAGCTGTTAGAAAAAGAATAAATGAGGTAATATGTGGGAATATACTTTCAGCTATCTGACAAGATGCTATTATTATTGTAGTTTGACTGTAAGGCCTTTAAATGGTAGCAGGATAACTTAGATATTTTTCCTTACTTGCAGACTTGTGATTTGTATGCCATGACTCGACTTTATAAGGCTATAACTCAGCAGTATAAAAATATTGAAAATGTTGAAACATAAAATGAAAACTACTTGGCTTATTATTTTTATTTGATAGGATTTTTTGAATCAGTTAATTAGTAATAAGTAGAATGTGTCATTAAGGAATTGGATTTTAGAATCATAAAATTTTAGAGCTGGGCGAAACTTTAGAAGTCATTTTTTCTAGGCCCTCATTTTGTTTGTAAGTGAGAAAACTGAGTCCTACAGAGGTTAAGATAACTTAGGTTACAGAGTTGAGTAACTTCTATAACTGAGTCAGTGTTCTTTCTGTTGACTGTGATTGATTTTGGTGCCGTTAATAGTATTAGCACTAATAATATCAATAGCAGCTATTTAAATGCTTCTAATGGCCCGGCTGGTGTGGCTCAGTGAATTGAGCATTGTCCTGTGCACTGAAAGGTTGCCAGTTCAATTCAAGGTCAGGACACATGCCTGGTTTATGGTCTCGATCCCCAGTATGTGGTGTGCAGAAGGCAGCCTATCGATATTTCTCTCTCTTAGATGTTTTTATCTCTCTCTCCATCTCCCTTCTTCTCTATCCAAAAATCAATAAAAATATATTATAAAAAAATGAAATAGCCCTGACCGGTTTGGCTTAGAGGTTAGAGCATTGGCCTGCGGTCCGGAGAGACCCGGGTTCAGTTCCTGCTAAGGGCATGTACCTTGGTTGCTGTTTGTCCTCGGCCCTGGTTGGGTCGTGCGGGTGGCAGCCACTCAATGTGTCCCTTTCACGTCGATTTTTCTCTCTCTCCCTCTCTCTCCCTTCCACTCTATCTGAACAAAAAATGGAAAAATGTCCTCGAGTGAGGTTTAAAAAAAAAAAGAAAGAAATGCTTCCTGTGTACAAGGCATTCTATTAGGTACTTTGTATATGTTATCTTGGTTTATCTACACAATAATTTATAAAGATTTGTTTTACCTGTGTATGTATTAGTTTCCTATTGCTGCTGTAGCAAATTAATAAGAACTTCATGGCTTACAACAACAAATTTATTAAGTTAGACTTCTGGAGGTCAGAAGCCTAAATTGGGTCTTACTGAGTGTTGGCAGGACTGCATTCCCTTCTGGAGTTTTAGGGGAGATCAGTTTTCTTGTCTTTTCTAGCTTCTATAAGCTGCCGACATTTCTTTGGTTTATGGCCTCCTTCTATCTCAAAGCCAGCACTGGCAGGTTGAGTCTTTCTCACGTGCCATTTCTCTGGATTTGACTCTTCTGCCTCCATCTTCTCCCTTAAAGGATCTTTGTGATTATTTCAGGCCATCCTGGATAATCCAGGATACTCTCCGTAATTTAAGGTCAATTGATTAGCAACTTTAATTCCACTTATAGCCTTAATTCCCCCTTGCCATGCAACATAACATATTAACAGTTTTAAGGGATTATGTCCTATATATTCTTGTAAGGGAGGGCATTTTTCTGCCTACCGTAATCTATTAGATTAAGAGATTTAGATTCAGAGAGGTTAGGTAAATTGTCCAAGGTACATTAGTAAATGGAAGAGCTCATGCTTTAATCCTGTTATCTTTCATTATAACATGGTTTGTTTTTTGTTTCGTTTTTTTTTTTCTATAAATGCTATTTGATCTGGGTCATGAAAAGTAAGTTGAATGGTGAACAGTGTTCAAATAGTAAATAGCTCGCTCTTATTAAACTACAATCACATTTACTTAATAATACCAATAAATAGACTGTTTTATTATGGAACAATTAAAAGCATGATGGAGAAAGTATACTTATTAATATGGGAAAATGTTTATGACTTATCAAGACTTTCAGATAATTAACCCTCTCCCTCCCATTGCCATTTATTCATTAGGTTCTACCTGCCATCAGTTCTTTTCTTAACCAGCCTAGCAGCCTCAATTCAAATTACGTTCTTGCAAATTCCCTCAAATCCTTTATAAGCCACCCCTTTGATCTCTCCTGTCTGGCAAAGTTTCAGGACTAGATAAGGTCAACTGCCTGTTGTTTTTATTTTAAGATATATTCCGCAGGCTTAAAATTACCCAATAATCTTCCCATGTGCCTGTATTATCTGACTCCCCACAGCATACCTCCTCCATTCTTTCAAACCTCTTACCCCCTACAATTGCTCTGAATGCAGTTGACCATAGTTGAGCATTGCTTCCTTTCAGGAACACTCTTCCCTTGGCCTTTGTTACACCACCCATTCCTGGTTTTCCTTTCCTTATTCTGGTTTACTCTTTTTAGTCTTCTATGTTAGTTCTTCCATTTTTGTCTGACTATTGAAAGAGGAATTTCTCAAGGTTTTTTCTCCCTAATATACTCTTCCATTTAACATGGCCAAAGAGAGTCTTGTTCTTTCTCTCTGATACACTCTTCCTTCAGCTTTCCTCATTTCTTTTTTTAATTTAATTAATTAATTTATTTTTGTTACAGATATTTCTCCTTTTTTCCCTCCTGATCCCCCCGTCCCCCTCCCTCCCTGCCCTGTCCCCAGCTTTGTAGTCCATGTCCATTGGTCATGCATACATGCATATAAGTTATGTGTTTCTCTCTCCCCCACCACCGCCTCTTCTGGGGATTGTCAGTCTGTACCCCACTTCCACGTCTCTGGGACTACCCCATTCCTCAGACCATTATGTTCATTATATTCCACAAGTAAGTGAGATCATATGATACTTCTCTATCTCTGTTTGGCTTGTTTCACTTAGGGTGACACTTTCTAGGTCCCTCCATGTCATCTCAAAGGATAAGAGATCTTTCTTTCTTACAGCTGCATAGTACTCCATTGTGTATATGTACCACTGCTTTTTTATCCATTTGTCTACTGATGGACATTTGGGCTGTTTCTAGATCCTTAGCTATTGTAAATAATGCCACTACGAACATGGAAGTAAATATATTCTTTCTGATTAGTGTTTCAGGCTTCTTAGGGTATATTCCTAGAAGTGGGATCACTGGGTCAAATGGCAGTTCAATTTTTAAATGTTTGCGGTAACACCATATTATTTTCCATAGTGGCTACACCAGTCTGCATTCCCACCAGCATTGTGCTAGAGTCCCCTTTTCTCCGCACCCTCGCCAACACTTGTTGTTTGATGATTTATTGATGGCGGCCATTCTGACAGGTGTGAGATGATACCTCGTTGTTGCTTTAATTTGCATTTCTCTGATGATTAGTCATGTTGAGCATTTCTTCATATATCTCTTAGCCATTAATATGTCCTGTTTGGAGAGGTGTCTATTTAGTTCCTCTGCCCATTTTTTCATTGGGTTCTTTGTCTTCCTTTTGTGGAGTTGTATGAGCACTCTATATATATTGGAAATTAACTCCTTATCTGATATATCATTGGCAATTATACTCTCCCATACAGTGGGTTGCCTTTCCATTTTGATGATTGTTTCTTTTGCTGTGCAGAAGCTTTTGAATTTGCTGTAATCCCATGTGTTCATTTTCTCCTTTGTTTCTGCTGCCTTAGGTGATGTATCAGTGAAAACTCTGCTGCGTATGATGTCTGAAATTTTGTTGCCTACATTTTTTTCTAGGATTTTTATGGATTCATGAGTCACATTTAAGTCTTTTATCCATTTTGAGTTTATTCTTGTGTATGGTGTAAGTTGATGATCTAGTTTCATTTTTTTGCATGTAGCTGTCCAATTTTCCCAGCACCATTTATTAAAGAGGCTGTCTTTACTCCACTGTATGCTCTTGCCACTGCATGCTCTTCTTTGTCAAATATTAATTGAGCATATTGCCTTAGGTCCATTTCTGGGTTCTCTGTTCTGTTCCACTGTTCTATATGCCTGTTCTTGTGCCAGTACCAGGCTGTTTTGATTAGAGTGGCTTTGTAGTATAACCTAAAATCTGGCAATGTGATCCCTCCTACTTTGTTCTTTTTTAAGATTGCTGTGGCTATTCGAGGTCTTTTTTGGTTCCACATGAACTTTTGAAGTATTTGTTCTAGTTCTTTGAAGTATGTCATTGGTATTTTGATGGGGATTGCATTGAATCTATAGATTGCTTGGGTAGTATGGACATTTTAATGATGTTAATTCCTCCAATCCATGAACAAGGTATGTGTTTCCACTGTTTTATATCTTCCTCTAGTTCATTTTTCAGTGACTTGTAGTTTTCTGTGAATAGGTCCTTTATTTCTTTGGTTAAGTTTATTCCTAGTTATGTTAATTTTTTTGGCGAAATGGTAAATGAGATTGTTTTCTTAGTTTCTCTTTCTGTGAGTTCATCATTGGTGTATAAGAATGCCATCTATTTCTTGACATTAATTTTGTATCCTGCTACTTTGCTGAATTTATTTATTAGGTTTAGTAAATTTTTGTTGGAGTCTTTGAGGTTTTCTACTTATAGT